TATTTCAATGTAGGTACAAAGCAATAATAGAAAATAAGTCTACCAATGCAGTGACGGTGTAAAAAAACGTGACTTGGAAAAAAATTGAAGAATTTAGAAATAAAAGTTAAAGAATTGGAATTTACTTCTAAAGCAAATAAAAAGTAAAATAATTATAGTGTAAATCTGATATGAACTACAATATAAAGATGTTTGTTTGTTTGTTTGAACGCGTTAACATCAGGAACTGCTGAACTGAATTGAAATATTCTTTTTATGTTGGGTTAGCCATAATTCTAGGAAGCCTTTAGTGTACAATAATTGTTCGTTTTAAGTTCCAGGTGTGTCAGTTTTCCCATTAGTTGATGGAAAACAGATTTTGAATAGCGATCCTTAAATTCTTCACCATTGTAATGAATTACAGGATTTATTCGTTTCCGGAACTGGCGAGTTGGTGCCAGATCTTCCTCGTCACTAGATAGGGATATATCGTCAACAGATAAATCTGACAACATTTTTTACTACCACTACAACAATCCTCTGACCAAAATATCAGTAAAATTTCTTTTGACAGTCTGTTAATTGATCAATTTTCACCAATTACTTATTAAAACACAACAAAACGTTAACATGCAGTTAACATACAAAAAAGCTTTCCGGAAACCAAAAACTACCGCAATCGGCCATTAATTTGACATTTGCAACAACAAATCATTGACAAACTGTCACTTGGCTCATTGAGAAACCCAAAGTGCATTTAAATAGAGATTAACAATTTGTTACGTAATTTTTTCGATGACATGCGTTTCAGAAACCGGGTGTAAGTTATATTGCTGCTATTGCGTGTTTTACTTATGTATTTTTTATGAATTTGTATTTTTTAGTTTACTTACTATAAAAGACAAACTTTTGGTTTATGTTTGTTAATTAAATTTCATTTATAATGGACATGCTGTCCATGGTGGGCGGTATGTTTAGAATTACTTTACTTTTTGTACGATAGATGGCAGGAACGGTTCACTGAATCACGTTACCATTTTGTTTTGTTTGAAATATAAGTATGTTATATTAAAGCAATAAACGCTCTCTCGCTATTTTAAAATTGGAACAGGTGTTTAATTCTTTAGTTAGTTCCACCTCCTTTTTGGGACACTAAACACTTAAAGTTGACTTTAGATAATATCGTGATTGTCGTTCATCCTACCGTTACCTACATAGTATCTTACCTACTTATTTCAATTAAATAATAATGATCTAATTAATAATTAACGATAAATAATAAGATCGTTTGTTGCAGATCGTCGTGCCTTTCTGCCCGTTGTTAATAGACATGGCCAGATGTTGCAGATCGTCGTGCCTTTCTGCCCGTTGTTAATAGACATGGCCAGAAGACATTTATGTAAAATATATTGATTGAAGTTTTATGGGAAACTCGGAAAAAAAAGATTTTTTGTATCTTTCAAATAGTTTTAATGTTTAATTTTAAATAAATGCATAAGATAATATATAAGAAAATAATCAACGATAACTTCCAAGCACATAAATGTAGATACTTAAATGTAACAATAACGTCGATTGGCAAACAGTTAAAACTGCATCGTCAACAACAATTTTTTTTTATTTAAATTAAGAATTAGAGATGGGCCGAGTACTCGTTTTATGCTCGGTACTCGGTTTATTTTGAGTTTTTTTTATTATTCATACTCGGCCGACTAACTTGGTTCATATGACGAATGTACTCGGTTAATATAATTATATAGTATAATATATTGGGTGATATAATGAATACGAAGTGTTAATTAAAAAAACAATAAGTATTACTTCCAGGTGTATATAAAAATACTCGTGCTGACCGTGCCATCTCTTGATATCTTTTATGTCTTGCCTGCGGATGAAGAAGGATCGAAGGACGACGAAGGATCGGTAGCACCATAAAACACTTTGCGCGCATAACAACATTGAACCGAGTTATTTAAAAATCATTGAAATTATTAAAACTCCGTACTCGGTTATTCGGTAAAACCTGTACTCGTCCCATCACTATTAGGCATTACCTATCTTTCATTTAAGCCAGTATGACTTGGTTATGATAACTTATATTAAATATGATATTATACTTTTAATTATTCAGGTGAAAGATAGGATGGTCTATCTGAGGTTTGGACTGCTTAGTACCTATTCGTGGAACTCGAAAGTGCAGTGGCTAGTGCGTTCGGCATGTGGTATTTGAAGTTAATCAACTTTCGCTATGTTTAATCATAAGGTGGGTGACCAAAAATTTAGTATCTATTATATATTTAGTGCTTCGGAAGGCACGTTAAATCCTTGGTGCTGGCTACATCTGCAGTTGTTAGCATTCACCAATCCACTGTACCAACTGAAAGTAGACTAAACTATTATTTTCTTTTTTGCCTACCCTGTCTGAAAATTCTGTGTACCAACCAACCAAGTTGGTGTTACGTTCAAGGATATACTTTTTTATCATCCATAACTTAGTTTTAAACCGCATAAAAATCACCATTCGAGGTGCAAGTGTTAAGCTGTGTGCAGATAGCGCTATTCTCCCTCACGAGTTGCTATGAGTAGAAACGCTCTATCCGTACGCAGCTCTAAAGTCCAATCCATCCATATTATTAAAGCATTGTATATAAAATTCTAGTGCCACAATCTTAGTTACGATACTTCTCTGAAACGGCTTGGCCGATTTTTATGAAATATTTTATGCATATTCAGTAGGTCTGAGAATCGGCCAATATCTATTTTTCATACCCCTAAGTGATAAGGGATGTCCACCTCTAACATATTTTTTAATTTTCTGGTAATTTTTTTTTATTTTTTTTATGTGGCATTAAATCTTTGAACATAGATTTTACATCTGAATTTTGGTATGTAGCTTAAATTTAAATTATCTTTTTACATATCGATTTAATAATTAAACGTATCCATTATAATAGGTTGCGGAAAAAGGTTTTTTCGCATTATACATAGTATGTATGAACTTGTTATAAAATCTTTTTGGCTATACAATTTGTGTCAGGCTGGTTTTGGTATCATTAAAAAGTTTAAATTCCTAATAAGATAATTGCAAATTAGAAAAATGAGATATTTTCATTTTTTTATCTCACTATCAAGATGAGTAAGACTAATGAAGAAAATCGATACATTTAAAAATTTTACTACAAAAAACCTTAAAATGCAATGCCGCCAGGCAGGACCATCGATTCTGAACTCTGCTGCAAACAACTGATGAGATTAAAGCAAGAAGTTGAGAGAAAGCGATCGGAATTAATCAACAGAAGGGGTGTGGTTTTTCATCATGATAACGAGACCTTACACAGACATCTTTAGCCACTCAGCAAAAATTAAGAGAGTTTGACTGGGATGAGTTAATGCATCCGCCGAATAGTCTTGCACCTTCAGATTTCACGTATTTCGGTCTCTTCAGAATTCTTAAGGCAGCGTCAGGTTAACATCACGAGAGGACTGCCAAAAGCCAAAACCACTTGTCGCGGTTTTTTGATCAACAACCCCAATATTTCTATAGCAATGCGATCATGTCCCTACTAAAAAACGGCGTAACTAGGCTTGTTCCGAGTTTATTAATAGGGGGACGGGGGGCGTATGTTTAAAAATAATCTTAATAAGTAATAACTAAATAAAAAATTTGCTTCAAATAATTAAAAGTACCTACAAGTTCTTATAAAAACTTGTTACCAATGACAATGTGTAAAAAATTGCTACTCTACCATGGCTAGCCTATAGTCTTACCATTTTATTTATTATCTATTTCTTTGATATTTGGAATCACAAATATATTAGCTACGGGCTTTACTATTTCCACTGGAAATTAACAATAAAAGATATTCATTTGCCACGTCGATATAATCACAAAACGGCAATGAAATAACCTACAATTATATGTAGTTTGGGGGCAGTAATGCCCTTGGTGTAGGAAGTGAATTTAATTTGACGAGCGTGAGGCACCGGGGGAATAATGGCGCATATTTCTCTAAATTGCAGGAGGGATCAGCGGGGTACCTAACGAGGAGTATCTTAACGGTAACTGAATTCGTAGAGAAAGACCAACTTAAAGCAAACTACTTATCGAATCATCTATTACATCGGAACAGTTATTTACATTATCTACCTATCTAACTATATCTACAAACGCGGATGTTTTATCATAAATCTTTGTCAGCCTTTCTTAGGAAAAGTTTTATATCATCATGATTTCTTTTATTGCATATTATTTCAGTTATACTATTGGTATATCTTCTGATGTTTTCTTAAAGCATTATTATAATTCTTATATAAACATTATTATTCATCATAGGTATTCATTCTTAGTTAACGAATCCAGTCTTATCCGAAACCTTGTCAAACCATCGTCACAATAAGGCCTTCGTTCTGTCCATCTCGATCTTAACAAACTAGCATTCAAGTGAAACACAAGCAATTTCTGTATTCTGTGCTAGGTATTATATGAGAACGGCCATTTTCATCAGGACATTCACAGAACATTAATATCAAGCAATTTATTTTTAATCCGAATTCAGTCTAACAACATTTTCCGGGTTCTTAGATGTTACAGAGCGATGTTTTCGATTACCCATGTAGTGTCGTGTGGAATGTCAGTTTATGGGTTCAATTTATTTGAAAAACCTAATATGATAAGTAAGCTTGATTTATGTAACTATTGCTAGTCAATTTATCACAAATTTCTAAGGGAAGTGAAAAGAAATTATAATTTTATCGAAATACAAGCAAGGGACTTATGTTTTGAACTTAAAATATCAAGAGATTTATTTGATTTCGTGCAGGATATATATTGAAATCATTACGTTTATAACCAAGATACCTACTTAACTATGCCGACACACTTTTTCAAGTAAAATATCTTTTTCTATTTACCTCTAGATAACCGGTATCGCATCTGTTTCCACACCGGAAATGCATGTTCAAAAAATTTTGAACGTTGTTACAGCTTCCACTTTCCACGGATTCTGAAAAGTTCCTTAAAAACATATTAAACCTTCTTCGCGTTTTGAGGGCGATCTTCGTCGTCGGAGTGTTCTTCCTGCAACAGGAGGCTGTCGGGAGGGCCGCGGGGAGCAGCACGTGGCTGCGTGTTCCGACGTAGACCGCCTTTCCCAAATAAACGCGTAAGCTGCGCGAATTTCTTACGGGACACTGGAATTATTAAGGGAATATGTCATCATTATCATCATCAGCTTATTAATGTCCCCTCTGCTAGAGCACAGGCCTTCCCTAGGGATGGAATTGGGAGATTGGGCCATGACCACCCACGCATTCCCAGCGCGTATTGGTGAGTAATTTAATAAAAGGGAATATATATAGGCTCTAAAATCTGTAGAAGCTTGATGGCGCAAGTGGTTAGCGCTTCCGCTTGCGATCGTGTCATTGTTGTGATCAGCCATTGGATGTGTGATCAAAAACTTGTTATCTCGAGTTAATGCGTTGGTCTCAGCTCTCACCAGCACTCACCAATGAGCACTGGGCTTGCGTGGTTGGTCATGGTCCAGTCTCCCTATTCCATCCATAGGGAATGCCTTTGCTCCGCCAGTGGGGACATGAATAGACTGATGATGAAAAGGCAAAGCTAGGCTTGTAGTATCATTCAAACTTAATAGTGGCATTGGTGGCTGTGAAGTTAGCGCAAGTCGCTGCGTAGGAAAGGAAACGTAAGTAGTTGAAGGCTTGTTTGGATTTTCATAGAGCTGAAATAGCCGCTTAATAGCCGCCATAAAGTTTGAATTCAAATTCAAAATATCTTTATTCAAATTGGATGCATATGCATGCATACTCTTTTGAATAGTCCAAAATTGGTTTTCTCTACCACTCGTTATTGGATATATTTATTATCTGCGGAGAAAAACGCGCGACAAAAGCTCCACAACATTAAAAATAATAATGTAACAACATTTATTAGCCATTATGTATTTACGATGCCAATGCAATCATGATTTATTAAAAACTGTTGGTTTTCTATATCTTATATATGAATCCCAATGTACCTAAATGACGATTGTTGTTATTACCAATTTTAAATTTCGAAATCTTTTCATTGCGTATGACAAAAAGGTTTTCATATCATGACCCATCATTATTATCATTTTAAATGCATTTATAAAATTAAATATAAATGCCATTAATTATTCTTCAAATATTTTCCTACGAGTTAGGTAATAAATACTCACATTTTCCCATGTTCCTAAGGCGCTCCTTAAATACAGCTTCGTCGTCATGTCCCTTCGCCTTGCCTTGTTCACTGTCCAATGCCGCCATGAACTCCTGGTTCCACCTCAGCTCGGCCATGAACTCTTCGTTCTGTAGGAAAGTGGCTATTCGGTCGTCGTCCATATCCAGGCTGAGGTCGATCCTTGCGTCTGTGCACGGTGGGATTCGGAGGAACATCGGTGGTAACGGGCCCAGCATTCTTGGCACCCATTTCCTTCGCACTGCTAGCGGTACTGACTCTTCATCGATGTCTCTGGAAAATGTGAGGAAAACTGATCTTATTATACATGTCGTAGGATGATTTGATAAATCGAATTTTCTGGAAAATCGTACGGATTTTGCAAAAAACGCGGATAAATAGACAATGGCGACATTATTAAATCTTTTCTAGAGTTTTTCCGGCCGCTGCCGCCGCACGCTCACTCGGCTCGCACGTCATGGTCACAACACTAACGTATTGTGAACCCAAAAACTCAAGAATATTTATAATGAGTCCGCGATTCTTTTCGCACTACGGCGACTCGTTTTAGCAAAAATCCTATCTTTTTTCATAAGGATTAGCTTACAGCTTTTGAAAAAACATACAAAATCATTTTTGTTGCACTTGCTAGTTAAATAACTAAGGGAATTATGGTAAAAATACCTAATCACAATTTTTTACAGTTACGAAAAATACTGATAAAGAGGATTCATTCATCTTTTCCCACATTATGAGACACAGTGTATGACGTGTATGAAAAGTTCTATGAGCTTTTTCGAAATATGCATTGTTTTTTGGATAATTTACGTCGAAACTTACGATTTTGGCGTTTGACGACTAAGAACCAACATTTAACAAGCTAGTACTAAATTAGTATTGGGTCTAGCGATATTTTAAACCCAGCATTTTGTTTGTTTTTTTAAAAGCTACGATTTAACTCAGAATGATTTGTTTTTCATTTAATACTTATTTTAAGAGCTATTTATGAAATACCGTCTGTAAATGAGATTTTTTGGAAAATTGACTTTTCCACTCTCGAATAAGTCGAAAAGTATTTCTTTCTTTAAGTAAAAACTTTTTAGAAAAGTAGCTTAGAATTTGTCAATATATCTGTTCCCATACTTATTTTATTATATGTTAATTTTTTCATCCCTGAGAATGATTAGCGTCCGTCAAACCCCAGGGAAATAGTAACCCTCGGCACATTATAAAATTTGGAGTACAACAGTTTGTTTTGCTATGTAAGTAGAACCCAAATCCAAAAATTGGTGCTGTTGGGCAGAATTGCCAGGTTTGCCCGTTTTATCTGTGCAGCTATATTTTGTCGCAAAAATAAAAGTTTTAGATAAATAATAAAAAGGAAACATAGACGATGCCATAATATTACTATTTTCAACTGGGTTAAGTATTATGGTTGATTTTCACATAGTAGTATACAGGGCCTCCCATGGCTACATCACACGGAGGGAAAGTATATTAAATATTGAAGATAGGACATTTTTCTGTAAGAAGACATCATTTTATTTTTAATAATAACTAGATCTGCATTCACAGACTGGGAATCAAACTCGTGAGATTTCGAAAAAAGAAACTCAACATATTTTATGATAACCATCGAAAGGGTTAATCATAAGGATTATTTTTTGCTAAATAACATAGCCTTTTAAAGGAAAGGGATGTCTTATTACGTGATAAAAATAATAAAGTGATATACAAACTGTAGTACGTATGCTTTCTTTTTGAACTCACAGTTACAATGCGATTGGCTGAAATTTATAAAAATAATAATTCCAGAATGGAACACATAAATTATCAAGCTGTCTGTTCTTTTGTTTTTAGTGAGTTTCATTTTCATTTATTTGCAATTTTTTTGTTAATTTACTTACCATTGCGTATCAAAATAAAATGGATATAACGGAAGCTTACTTTAAGAACCACAAAGACATATGAGCTTTGCCACCTTTGACAGGTACCACCTGATAGAGACGTACCTTCTCGATATGTGTTTAAAAGGTTAGTAGATACTTTAAGAAAGTTAGGACGTTTTGGTATGCGCTTACAGAAACCACAGCAACGGATGATAAATGTCTTCGATGATGAACTCAACATTTCAACTTACTTTGGGGCGTATCCGATTTAATATTAGATTGTGTTAAATACTTGAAATAAAATGTTTTTAATTACTTTTCTTTCATTTAAAATGCTATATTATTAAGCAAAAAGTAATCCTCATGATTAACCCTTTCGATGGTTATCATAAAATATGTTGTGTTTTTTTTTCGAAACACGAGTTTGATTCCCAGTTGTAACAGGCGATTTAAAAAAAATTGTGAATGCAGTTCTAGTTATTATTAAAAATAAAATGATGTCTTTTTTCAGTAAAATATCCTATCTTCAATATTTAATATACTTTCCCTTCATGTGAGGTAGCCGTGGGACGCCCTGTATAGTCATACATGACTCATGTTAAGTATAATACACACTCGCCTGCAAAGCTAAGTATCACACTTTTAAAATTGCAATAACTTTTTAAGAACACAACATATATTTTCGAAAATAAAAGAACTCGAAAAAGTTTAATTTTGTAAACACAAACGTCATAGTTGGTAACCTTCTTTTATGAAATGTCTGAAAAAAAATAAGTCGGAGTAAGTTTTGGCAAACACACAAACCTCAAAAATGTACATGCAAGGTAGCGCCAGCAGCTTAAGCTGTTTAAAGAATGCTACAGGATGTACGGCAATCACTATTACAACAAATAGCACGAATACATTGCTTTTGTGCGACAAATGCTTGATTTAAGTGACATGAGTTACTCCAGAGAAGAATTTAGTACCTCAATAAGCTGCTTATGTAACCAAATAATATTTGTATGTTTTACATACATTATAAGTATGTAAAACACAACAACAGTGAGTTTTATGATACTAAGCTAAAAATGCCTATTTTTATTGTTTTATCTTTTTTTAAACTTAAAAATGTTACTAATTTATAATTTACTGTAGTTTTAAAGAAAGCTGATAAAAATTGCATTAATAACGTTTTTTATTCTAAATCTCTAATTCCTATAGTTTAGAAAAACAAAACAATTTAAAACTGTAGTACTTATTTTTGCAGGCCACTGTAGATGTTTTTAACAAACTCGCTAAACCAATAAACAAAAAAAAGTTACCTTCACTTTTCAGTGATTTATTTATCGTTTTAATATTACTTGTATGTAGAATTATGTTTAAAAATGAGTGGACCGATTTTCTCGACAATCAGTTAGGTCGGTAAGTACCGCTATATAAAAATGTGAGTGCTAAAGTAGTCAAAGTGTAGGTTTAATATTTCACCATGAAACGTTAAATCCAATTACGTTTTCAGTACCTAACATGTGTCTGGAAAAATTGGTTTAGAGCTTTCTGTTAAATTAAGTAAAGGTAGTTTTATACACATTGACCATGCTGTCTTTAGATTGAAGTCAAAAGGCACGGAGTATTTGTAATCAATAAATATATTGAGAAAGTACCTAATATATGACGTTCTATCTATCGATACGCATATTATTTGAAATGAAATACCTAATAAAACAGGAATCCTGCGTAAAACCCTAAAAATGTTTTACAATTACAGATTCGAAATATATTATGTGGTTAAGTACTTTTCCTCATGCAAATAATTAGTTATATAAACTGGACGAACCAAATTAAATAAACTTAGAATTATTATAACAATAATTCATTAAATTTCAATTAATTTTACGATTAAAAATTTATGTGATGACACGTACGTAATTACGTCACGTAATCCGACTGATCATGCGGTAGAGATAAAAATCTTCAATTGTGGCGGTTTTGGGTTGAATCAAACTAGAGATTTGATGGGAAGGCTAACTTTTGTTCTTAGGACGGACAATAACTCCCTGTATTTGAATATAATGAACGCGTTGCGCTAGGTTATGTTTCGCAAAGGTATGTAAGTAGGTACAATACATGCAAATATATGAATTTATACAAAAGGCAGTTAAGCGGCGGGTTTCATTGTAACCTCGTCTTTGTTGAGGATAGTCTGTCATGCTAACCTGTTGCTTCATTCGGTTGACTAGATCAAAATTATGTAAACTTTCAAAATTTTAAAGTTTATCTTCCCGTATTATTCTAACTTTTATAAACTATTTTTTTTTATTTTGGAACCGGTTGTTGTAACTTATCGAATATATTAAGTTAAATAAAATGACCTATTTCGAGTAACACTTAAGTAAATGGCATGATTCTTTCCAAATCAATTGTGAGTTCACCAACTTACACAAGAGCGGTGGTGTCATTATCATCCCCATTTTCAGCAGGTTTGGTTCCAGTACGGCGGTCCTTGCGCCGTGAAGGAGTGCTGTTTTCCACGCGTTCCATCTCAAGTCGCAATCTTTCGTTTTGGTTGTCGGTGCTCATCGCCAACAGCTGATCGATCGTCGCGTCCACGGCGCCTTGGTTCGCGCGGAGCACCGCCTCTATTACGTCGTCGTCCATATCAGGGAACATCGTCTTGAAATCGGTCATCGCTTGCGTGAACTCCAGCTGCATTGTGGACGCCATCGCGACGCCGCCGGTTCCACTGTTCACGCGATCTGCGAAACGTCACGAGCGCTCTTCCTTCGCCGGGAACTCAGCTGATATGTAACGCAGGACTGCCGCAGTGAAATCAGCCGTTGCCGGATGGGCATCGGCCATCCTGCGGCACCGTCCGTCGAGCTGCTGGCTAGTGCTTCACTTGCACTAATTCTACGCGGCGCCCTGCACTGACCGAAACCATGATGTGCAATTTTCACTTTTCTCGTTTTCCTAGTTTGCGCATGCGTATGTAGCGGTGCGGGAAGCGGGGTGTGTTATGTGCCGTCGATATAAATAGATAATGCACGTTGGTCTGCGACGCGACGCAGCGCGGGGCGCGTCGCTGTCAGCCGACGGCGGACGGACGCATAGCGCTAGTTAAGTAGATACACACAGTGCACTGCAGGATCGGCAGTGGCCGCGGCCGCGCGCCTGCGCCAAGGATTGTTTGTAAATTGCGGCCATACAATGTGACCTTTGAAAGCATTCTAACAAGTGATGTCATATTTGAATCACCTATTTGCCAATGTGTTTATCATTGTCGTCTATTTTACAAAGCAATTCCATGCAAGGGTAAACATCTATTTTTTGATAAATTTGAATACTAAGTAAATATATAACTTTTACTTAGTACCTATCTTATTACATAATTTAACGTACGGAATAAGTTTACGTAACGTTAGATTACCTATTTCCGCTTAAATTATTACTGTGACATAATTCAATAATATTTCTTTACAATAAAGGTTTATTTTGTTTTGCTAGGTTACTTACCTTAAAAACGTCATGTATCGCTTCATTCAAGGAAGAACCAAATAGGTATATTTCTAATTAAGATTGCAACCCGTTAGTAATGTTGTTTTGGTTAAATGTTTTGTCTTATGTTTTATTTATTTGTATTTACCTATGTCTAATGGACCCGACAGACCTTAGTCCTGCCCGATAAAAATATAGAAAGAAATCTGATTGCAGCGCTACCTTTAAGATAGAGAGGAATTTGAGTTTTCATAGGCTTTCTACTGCTTACCTACGTACTACGGTTTCTGCGCAACTTTCTTTTCTTTCATTATAAAAACTTCTGCATAATATTAGAAAAATTTAAAGTTAGACGAAATTGTCGCTAACAAGTTATGTCGTGCGGGATCAATGCTAATAGGGATTAATTTTTAATAAAGAGATCATAATTCGCTTTTGATTTGTTTCTAGGTACTACCTACTTAGATAGGTATAAATTTTATGTGACTTTAAATTACCACAATTGAAAAATGGATGGATGGAGGAGCCACTGATAAATGAAGTTGCTGTGCATTTACAACATTCCGTCTCATTGAATTGACTGTGTTTGCTCATCTAGGGCATAAGAGATTAACTAAGAGAGAAACTTTGGTAAAATGCCCACTTTGCTTAGGCAGAGAGCCTAGTGATATGAAAAAATGTAAGATGATCCCACCAAAAAAATTTTCATGTAGAGACGACTCTCACTGTCAAAAAGTTATCAGATCTCATAAAGAGCCTAGGTTCTAACTCTACAAGGTCTTTAAGCAGTCCGCGCGGCTTATGAGCGCTTACGGCATACTATCCGCTATAAAACCTTGCGAATACCCTATACGCTGTTAAGTGCGGGACTGCGAGATCCCCGTTGAGGGACTTCACCGCGTCCCCGTACCCAACAGCCGGCTTAGCTGGGGCTCAACGGCAGGTATTTCGGGTGATCCCGCAAGCGCTCGCAGGACTGCCCGCGCTGGGAGCTAAGTGCGCGGCCTATTGCCCCGCTTCCCGTCTGCTGCGGAAGGGCTACCTAGGCGTTCCCCTCGCAGGCCCTTCCGCGGCCCTCTCATCTAGGGCAGCACTCTGCAGGGCCTAACTTCACATAAACTCTACACCTTAGCATAACTAGTAAGTATCTGTGACCTTAGTCAAAATATTTCGTTTAGCCATTCCGCTACATTCACATGGAGTTAAGACGTAAAATGTATGGCTGTGTTGTGTTCATTACATTACTGTTATACAATAGCTCTTGTAGTAAGGAAAACCGGCTCGTTTTGCCGAGCCCTGAGCTGGACGTAATGAGCGGGGAGCCTTGCATTGCGTATCGTCGTTGCAACTCCCGATGGCAAGAAAGGCGTCACATCTTTAGCAGACACTCAAAAGAGATTATTTCCAGCAGTAGACACCATAGAACACAGCTTTCTTCGTTCTGCGGTGGGCACGATGATGGCAGCATCAGTCTCATAATAACAATTATTATTCATATTATGAAATAGGTAACACTTATTGCGACTTCCTCTGAGCGGAAAAATTGGTATGGGAATCCAATTTTTCCGTCCAAACTACCACCCCCCTTAAGGGATGATTTCTGGGATAAAAACCAGCCTATGCCCTTTCCAGGAACTTAAACTAAATCTCTACTATATCAAAGGATGCATTCTTTTCTCCATACTTGTACCTCAAGTTTGTTTGTTTGTTTGAACCAAAGATATTAAATACCCTAGATACACCAACACGAACAAAATCGTACCCGAAACCTGTTCAAAAGGTACATTGAACAATCCACGGAGAGCCGTAAGATGATCGATTAGTCAAAATCAATATAAGGCATTATTTAAATATTGAAAGTAACCTTTAATACATACTGTATGTGTCCTTTAATACAAAGGATAGGAATATGGGCCTTGTAGACACCACAGTATTCTTAGGGATTACTTTAGATTCTAAGCTTCAATGGGGCCCACATATTGATAAATTGTCAAATAGACTTAGTTCTGCAGCATATGCCGTAATGAAGATACGCCAGTTAACGGATGTAGATACGGCCAGATTAGTATACTTTAGTTATTTCCATAGTGTAATGTCGTACGGAATTTTATTGTGGGGAAACGCCGCCGACATTCAAACTATTTTTGTGCTGCAGAAGAGAGCTATTCGATCAATTTATAATCTTAAAGTTAAGGATTCCTTAAGAGATAGGTTTAAAGAATTTGGTATAATGACGGTCGCATCACAATACATTTACGAAAATTTATTACTTGTAAGAAAAAATATTAATTTGTTTCTTAAAAACAGTGATGTTCACACACTTAATACAAGAAACAAAAATAAACTAACTTTACCTGCTACTAGGCTTCACAAAATCAATAATTCATTTAAAGGTCTTTGTGTTCGCTTATACAATAAAGTCCCAAGCAATATCCAAGAGTTAAGCATAAATAAATTCAAAGATAGTATAAAAAAAGCACTTATTAAAAAAGCTTATTACAAAGTGTCTGATTATATTACAGACAAAAATGCTTGGGTTTAAACTGTTCCAATCATTCCAACAGGTTTTCTATATTAAATAAATCATGATTGTATTGACGTTGTAACAACATAATGATTTGTAAATGTTGTTACATTATGCTTTTAATGTTGTGGAGTTTTTTTCGCTCGTTTTTCTCCGCAGCTAAAAAATATGTCCAATAACGAGTGGTAGGGAAAAAAAATGTTTGGACGATTCAAAAGTGTTGTACTATACATCCAATTTGAATAAAGATATATTGATTTCTGATTTCTGATTTCTGTATAAGGTCTTAAATAAAACGCATGCGTTAAGGACTTCTGACAGTTCTAAATGCAAGCTCGTAAAATTTTACGACTTATTGCTATATGCGGAAGAATTTAGACCTTAGTTCTTGACTCTACGTGCAATTCTGAACGCGCTGTTAGCAATATAGCAGGCACGGACCGCGAGGAAAAGAGACGGCTATATGGCGACGTATAACCGACCATGCATTTGAATATCACAAATATTTTATATTAAATCAGTTTATAGTAAGTATTAGATCAAAATTTACTTTAAATGCGTTAAATTAACAAACATTGACAGATAGACAGATACCTGTCGAAAAAATGACACTTTACGTACTATAAGTATTATTTTCGCATTTTTCGCGGAGCTCTGTGGCATCTTGACTTTGTAACGGTTCGCGCGTGCCTGTGAACCAAGAAGTGCTTGAGTGGAGTTCAAGCACTTCTTGATTGGGACACATTTTGAGCGCTCGTGGTGTATCTAGGGTATTTAATATCGTTGGTTTGAACGCACTCCGATCCGTCCGATTTGAATAATTATTTTTGTATTGAATAATGCATAAATCGAGGAATGCTATTTAACATAACGCTCTAGGAGCACCAATGACAAATTTTGCAAAAAAGGGCAAAAAACAAATACATTTGTGAGCTTCCATTGCGCTACGTAAACGGTAAAAGTTACACAAAAATCATAAATGAGGATATGGAATGGATTAATTAATTTTTAAATGGTTGATTGAAAGTTATGTTGGAACGTTTTATAATTATGGCTGAAGATCTACCTACTTAGTATTAAGTTTAAAATTTTGACATTAGCATTATATTTTGGACAATAAGACAATCTTGGAAATAAACAATATATACAAAAACAACAATTTACATTTAGATATTAAACTAAAACTACACTAAAATTAGACAAAAATTAAAAATATTAAAAAAATAGCTGCCCTAAGTCTTCCCCGTCGGCAAAGGTTCCCAGGACGCTGGCGGCATTTCCCCGCTGAATGGCGAGGCTTATGCGCTGAGCGAAATAGCCGCCAGCTCTGCGGTCTCCAGTGGTCTTCACCAATCTTTTCGCGATATCTTTGAAAAGATGGTGGACACCGGGGCCCCAGGGTCGCTGAGTCTCGACTCCAAACGCCGCAAATGTGAGGTCTCCACTGAGGCAATCATACTTGCGGCGCTTAAGGACCTCTGTGGTCGAAGCAGCCGCGCCAGCCTGCATCGAGGTTCCGGGAATATGAGACGGGGCCAGAGTGTCGACGCAGGTTGCGTCCCACACAAGTGCCCGTCCCAGCTTCCAAGGAACGAGTGTTATGCCGTCAGGCCTCTTACCGTCGTCGCGCCAGGCCGCTTGGTTCTAAAACGGCTGGCACGCTGGCGGAGGCGAGGGCTCTGCGGATGACATCGTTGATGCAGTGGTGGCGGGTTATACGGCCGGCACTCCTTGTGCAGGAGAGACCGTGATGGCCGAGGTTGGTGACAAACGCTCCGCACCGGCAAAGATGGGGGACGACACAGGGCGAGCCAAGGCGCAAGGACGTGGCTATGCGAAAAGTTGAGCGGTCCAGGAGCGTACCGATATTCGCGGAAGGCAGTACCTGCAGCCATAGACCAGACTCCCACTCGCCAACGGCTAAGAGACGCGCACGGTCTGCGGGACTGCTAGTCCCGCAGACCTGTTTCTACAAGCGCATTGCGTTTCAGCCTGCAGAGTGGCGCGTCCCAAAGTCGCTGGGAGGCAGGGTCCTTTGGGATGTCGGTGTCAGGGCAAAATGGAATGGATAAGGAGAACAATTCCCGTTCTCCTTTCAATGTTTAAAAAAGTACGCGACAGTTATTTTGCTGCTAGATGTTTTATTCGGGTGTTTTA